CCTGCCGCCTCTGTGCTCCGTCGCTCTTCCGAAGCGGGCGCGTCGAGAGACGACGGTAGCTCCGGGTTCCGGCTTTCCGGGTTCCGGGGTTCCCGACCGATCTCTTCATCGCTCTCTTTCTACTTCGACCCCACTTTAAACCATCCACTGATTGGGGCTTTTCTCTGTGTAATCCCCCCTCTGGAGGAGGAGGAGGAGGAGGAGGAGGAGGAGGAGGAGGAGGAGGAGGAGGAGGAGGAGGAGAGGAGGAGGAGGAGGGGGAGGAGGAGGGAGGAGGGGAGGAGGAGAGGAGGAGGAGGAGGAGAGGAGGAGGAGGAGGAAGAGGAGGAGGAGGAGGATGGGAGGGAGGGAGGAGGAGGGGGGAGGAGCCCAGCCCCCCGCAACCACCTGCTGCCTGCTGAGGCCGCCGCCGACCTGGGGACGGCGAGAGGTGTTCGAAGTTCCGATGCCGCTGCTCTTCGGTCGGGCCTGTCCCCCTACAGGGGGAGACCCAGACATCGGGCGTCTCGAGAAAATCGGGACCGAGGTTTTTCAGTTTTGGGCCTCTCGGGGCCCTCGCCGGGCCTCGGGACCGTCAAAAAACGACTCGGGATGAAAAACCAGTCCCGGGGAAGTGGTCGGGAGGTTCGGGGCCCGCGTCTCGAAAAAATCGAGACGTCGAATGTCTGGGGATTTGGGGCGAAAAATTTGAAGTACTCGAAAAATACCCCCCAAATGGTCACAACAAAAATAAAAAAATCGTCCCCTGACTATTTGGTGACTATTTTTTGAATATCCCCCCTGTAGAGGGACAGGCCCGACTTAACGCCACTCCCCAGCAGGGCTCGACCAAAACGGTGCCTTTCGTGCTCGTTTCAGTTCCGTTGTCCCTCATGCTGTCTTCCCAAAGATCCGACGTCGTGACTTTTTCAATACGGGGCCTCCGGAAATCTCGACCCCTCCCCCCTGGGAAGTTCGAGAAACACCTCCGTCTTGATTTTTGTCAATATGTTATAGACCTCTGGGCTCGCTCCGCCCTCGCTGCAGAACGACGCCCAAAACCAGACCACTCCACGAAAAATCGCCAGAAACCCAGACCCCCGACGTAATGATTTTTTCATTACGTCGACCCCAGAGTTCTCGACCCCTTCCCCAGGACCGGTTTGTCATCCTGAGTCGTTTTTTGACGCTCCCGAGGCCCGGTGAGGGTCCCTGGAGGCCGAAAATGGTGAAAAACCTCCCGTCATGAATTTTTCATTACCCGAGGGGGTCTGGGAAGCACCGTTCCTGTCGAGCCCTGCTCCCCGGACCCCTCCCGGGGCGCATCCTGACCGCACCCTCGAGGCGCCTCCGGCCGCGGAAGCCGGAGCCCCGGGGCCGCCCCCCCAAAAGCGGGCGCCTCCTCCTCCTCCTCCTCCTCCTCCTCCTCCTCCTCCTCCTCCCTCCTCCTCCTCCTCCTCCTCCTCCTCCTCCTCCTCCTCCTCCTCCTCAAAACAGGAGCCAAAAGGGCAGCGACGTCGGTGTTCCACGCCTCCCCGGAGGCCTGCACCCGCTGGCCGTCGGGCACGGCTCGGCGACTCCGAAGGGTGTGGTTTGCAGAGGGTGCGGCGTGCAGCCCGCACCCCGCGGGGCGGGCGAGGGCCTCGACAGGGACCTCCGCGGCCCGACGAGGGCCGCGTGGCGCCCCCCTCCGAGCCCCCGACCGGCGCAGATGGCAAACCGTAACCGCACCCCTTGTGGTTATACGCTGGGGTGGGGTTCCCAGACATCGGGCGCCTCGAAAAAATCGAGGCAGAGGTTTTTCGTAGTTTTGGGCCTCTCGGGGCCCTCGCCGGGCCTCGGGACCGTCAAAAAACGATTCGGGATGAAAAACCGGTCCCAGGGAAGTGGTCGGGAGGTCGGGAGCCCGCGTCTCGAAAAAATCGAGACGTCGAATGTCTGGGTTTGCAGTCTGCGCCGGTTGGGGGCTCGGGGGGGGGGGGCGCCACGCTGCCCTCGTCGGGCCGCCGCGGAGACCTTGGTCGAGGTCCTCCCCAGGCAAGTACCACACGCTTCCCAGAACCCCGGCGCCGTGATTGTTTGCCAACGTCATAATAAGCCCCCCAGAGGTCTGGACCCCTTCCCCGGGACCGGTTTTGCATTCCGAATCGTCTCGTGGCGGCCCCTATAGGCCCAGGAAGGGCCCCCGGAGGCCGAAACAACAGCGAAACGAAGCAACAGCGAAACATCTCCCGTCGTGCTTCGTTCACGACGCGAGGGGGTCTGGCTTGGTGGTCGCCGAAATGGTCCACTCGTCGTAGGTGTGCAGCAGCAGCACGGGCAGCGCGTGGGTCGGCGGCGCCCTGCCGGCGAGCAGCGCCGCCGCGGCGGCCGCGCTGCGCACGGGGGCGCCGCCCGCGCACGCGAAGTCCAGCGGGCTGATGTGGAAGTCCTCGCCGGCGGCCCCCGAGGGGTGGGGCCCCGAGGAGGAGGAGGAGGAGGAGGAGGAGGAGGAGGAGGAGGAGGAGGAGGAGGAGGAGGA